TTGAACCCCTACCCTTATAGTCATTTGACTGAGATACGTCTCCTCTTAAAACGTTATTTAAGTTTGAGTTTATGTTGTGTCTCCCGTCCAGCTTTCAAGAGGGCTTCGTACAATTTTTGCAAGTGATTCTCAATATTTTCTGGTTCAGAGGTAGATAATTAAATAAAAATAATAGTGACACGTAAGTTATTATTACTATTTCGCCCGAACACGTTCATACACGAAGATGCTGCTCTTCCGGGTTTTGGAGCCGTGTAGACTCATGGCTAGATGCCAGCATTTCGAAGAAAAAAACATGCTGTCTACATCTTTAGCCCTGAAGATGGCACCGAAATCCAGAAGAACAGTATTGTTATTCTCGTCTCGCGAAGACCTGAAATCTCACATGTTCATGTGTGTCGTTATAAATTAAGTGTTTATGTGTTATTAAAGTCGTTGGTACATTTACATTATCCGTCTTCCAGTAACCTGGGACCTGCAACACTTCTCCTCCGCGGGTCTGAGAGGGCTATCGACTGGCCCCCTATATTTCGTGTCATCTTTCTCACCACTTTGGTAGACCACAGGATGGGATGAACAAGCAGAATGCATTAAGCATTAACTCTGAACACAAACTACTGAATTCAGTCGAACATAAATATCTTCTGGGTTGTTGCACTGTGTAGTCATCAGGGCTATTGGTCATCATCGCCATGGTGATGGAGGCAGCAAGCACCCCTGTAAAGTTGGTGTACTTCTACCAGAATACACGATGCAACAAACAAGAAGACCGCTATCTTAATATTCGCAGTCCTGAGGACCTGAAACATCACCTAATGTACCGGGTCTACAATTTATGAGGCTGCGGTCGTGACTTGCATTGCGTAGTCGGCCGACGCACTGTTGATGTCGGCGGGAGTCGTGCCCGTTCTTCCGGTGGGTGACCGGCGAATCAGTTTCAGTGCCGCTAGTAAGAACGAACTACAAATATTTCTCGTCACTGATACATGTTATTACATTAATTGTTTTACCTTAAACCACAAAAGATGTTCAAAGTGACTTCCTTGTGCTTGCAGGCAACTTCACATCTCGTTAACATGTTTCGAAATACTCGACGAAGCTCTTCTTGAGAAATTGTCGAATATTTTCTTTAAGTGCTTCTGCATGCGACTTTTACCTGTGGGGTATGCTGAAGAAAAAAGTGTATGTAAACAATCCGCACACTGCAGAAGCACTTAAAGAAAATATTCGACAATTTCTCAAGAAGAGCTTCGTCGAGTATTTCGAAACATGTTAACGAGATGTGAAGTTGCCTGCAAGCACAAGGAAGTCACTTTGAACATCTTTTGTGGTTTAAGGTAAAACAATTAATGTAATAACATGTATCAGTGACGAGAAATATTTGTAGTTCGTTGTTTCTAGCGGCACTGAAACTGATTCGCTGGTCACCCACCGGAAGAACGGGCACGACTCCCGCCGACATCAACAGTGCGTCGGCCGACTACGCAATGCAAGTCACGACCGCAGCCTCATAAATTGAAGACCCGGTATCTAGTCACTAGAAGAAAATGACAAACGAGAAATCAATAATTTTAAATGCTAACCGTTCAGTTGTGGCAAAAATGTTGGCCTAAGTTTTACCGCAAACCAACATTCATAAACCTGTGTAAATCAAGTCGCAAATCTCGAACTGTCGACTGACCTCCGGTTGGTGAACTGATTTACATTACTCACGTCACAGAAGCGGCTACAGGCTTACGTTCTCAGCATTGCATTGGTTACAATGTCTCATTTCATTCATTATTTATTTCACAGTCAGTTTTAGGCGAGTCATTATGCTAAAATAATTGGCTTCGGTTCAGATGAAAGGAGTTCGTTTCCCGGTAGGAACAGCTCATTGCTTCTCCAGAACGTGCAGAGCGGCTTATTGGTCTACGAAGCCCCTGTCTAATTTTCTCTTGGACCAAAGAGGTGGGGCGTGAAGCTGACTGCTCCTATTTATCTGGTATTGAGGCTAACACTACATAAATCTCAGGGACAAGTGACCCTTAATAGCCAACATCGAAATTTAGGTCACAGGTCCGCTTGTTCCAGATTTATTTATTTTATCAGAACGTCCTTTATTCGACAGTATGTCGTCCAGTCTTCGTCGTCATAATTTGAGGGAAAAACAGGAATTTACCATTCGTTATATTTTCTTGACGTTTACAGTATCTTATTCTGTAGTCAGTAAATGTAATTAAATAACTTATACTTCTACCGATATAGAATAGACCTGTATTTTTAACTAGACTCACGGGAAGTTACGTTCATGACATTTTATGACATGAAACTCTGTAATGTCATCATTATCGAATGGCTCTATAAGTATCAAATTTGCATTTAAATCAACTCAAGGACAAACTGTGACTGAAGAGTCGAAGAGATTTGTATTCCTACTCAAGGCTCTATGTTTCCTTTTTTTCTTAATTTATTTTATTTTTTTCCTTCCCTCCTTTCTTGTTCTTTATGTTGTTTCTTTTCAGTGTTTTCTCTTTCTTTCTTCATTATTTTGTATTTTATTTTGTATTTATTTATTTTCTTCGTTTAATGTCTTCTTCACTTCTGCAATTTATTGCTTCCTCTTTTATATTCTTTTATTCCTTCTGCGTTTCTCCTTTTGCCGTCTTTTTTCCTTTCTTGTGTTGTTTGCTTTCTTCCTTCATCTTTCCTTTGCTTTTATTCTTAATTTATTTACTTTCCTTAATTTATAATTTCATTTGAGGAACGCTGAGCTCAACTATGACAGACATAAGAACTAATTGAATGACGAAATATTTATCCTGAAGAGACCAATCCGATATTCGGTTCATGTACCCTCCATTCAGGTACCAAGAATGTCTTTATATAATGATCTTGAAATATTAATTTATTTTGTTTAAGTTTCATTAGCCGTGACGTTAATAACGGTCGATTTTCTTGGAGTATGATTTTAAGGAAAAGAGCTATACTTAATCCAGAATTTAAAAGTTTCAATAAAATTATCCGAAGGCTTGTGCTGAGTCTGTCTGCACAGTCACGGCTTGGTGGCTGCAACAGCTGCCCCACACTAATTCCTCTTGCTGTCTCCACGCGGCCAGTATTGCGCGCTGCTAATTTAAAGTTTCCCTAGCAGGGATATACAGTCATGCCAACAAAGAAAGAAAAATAGGAATTTATGAAGACATTAGTTCACTACATAATTAGCAAGCAGGAATCGCTGTTCGCTTTTCGTCTGTAATTGAACTGAGAACACCGAATTTAGACCACTGGTGCTCAGTTAGTTTTTTGAAACTGTTTCTAAAAGTAATTTATATGAATCGGAGAGCAAAACTTCGTATTTATCTGCGTCTGAAAAGTGATAAATTTGTAAAATAGTATAATGAATTCAGATTCAAGTTCTTTTCAATAATATATTTACCTCAGTATGGGAGCGACAAGTAGTGCAGATGTTTTTTGCTCTGTAATAGAATTTATTTATCGTTGATTAACTTCTTCACATGTCCCAGAATAGTAACACTGGATTTCTACGAAATTTATTACGAAAATACGAATATTTTTACACATTTAGTAGGACTCCTTGAACGGAGTATAAATCCATCGCAACACCTTTACTTACACAGGATAGCACATCACAGAAGAAGACCCACATATTCCCTTTTCTACAGAAGTATTCGACTAGCGATCCGATTCCTCTAGCGTTCAATACAGTACCGAATCTTTGACTAGACGGACATTGCGATCGGCAAATTGTCTGATTTAAATATTGTAATTAAATTGTAGTTTGGAACTTGCGAGATTTTAGGCTCTTAAGGCCATGAGTGATGATGTCTTCTAGGTTGCTGTCTCCATCATGAAGGACCTAAATATAAGTGAAATATCACTGTTTTATCATTTGTCTTGAGAGACCAAAGAAAATTTTGTACGACTTCATTCACGACACCTGATGACTCAGTAGAGATTCTAACCGAATATCTCCAGAGTTCAACAGCCATGCATTCCCGCTTTAACAGTCACCTCGTGGGTCTTATAAAAGTATTGGATAACCCTGAAGGAGGTTTCTACATCTACCTGTATCTTGATTCATGGCAGGTCCCGTGTTTAATTCGCCGTAAAGAATGCCTCTCCATCTTATTTACATTCCCGACTGCCGTTGCTCAGTCATGACAGAATTTTCCTTGGCTTTGCTTCAGATTCGCTTTTATTTTTCGTTTCAATCAAAATGTTCTGTCACACATACTAATATGTCTATCGTGACGTCATTTCCGCAGCGATGTGTACAAGTGTTTTTATGTCAATCTGGACTTTTTTGTGACAGTGACGTAGGATTGAAATGAAGAATATCTTAGTACAAACCAGAATTACAGAAGTCGCAATGCAAATTTTGTATTGTTAGATATTAAAGTCGAGGAAAATACGATGGGTTAATGGTTAACATGGGGAGTCATGGAAAGCACGCGAAAAGATTTTGGAAAACGTTCATTTGGAGCAGATGACATAGAAGTAGATGGGAGGATAACAGTACTGTGAATTCTAAGGATATGGTCTGCGATGATGGGGTGGGGGTGTATGTGTTGGGAACTGTCTAAGTATAAAGCCTCCGGATTCTGCTACCAAGGATTTATTTAACGATTGTATTAATAATTAGCAACAGGTAAATATGTTATCCTGTACCTACACAATTTTTATCAGTTCTGTGATATGGGTTGAACATAACAACGCCTGTGTATGAAAACTTTATGCAAAATTTTAATAAAAATACCCGAATGGAAATCCGAGTGAGAAAAATACAGGTTCTTGCTTGTTGCCTCTGAAACGTCGATAAATTATACCAGACTACACGATGCAACAACCCAGAAGACAGCAGTTTTCGTACTCACCGCCGTGAATACCTTAAATAAAACTTCGATTTAGTTTATTCAGCGACTTTGTTGTACCAGCATAAATGTTGAAAATTCTAGCTTTTATTTTCGTAATAAGATATGATAAATGTAATTTCACAGGTTACGATTGGACATTACTTCCGGTGACGCAAAAATCGACAGCAAAGCGGAAGCAGCATATCAAGAGACCGATGAACGCCTTCATGGTTTGGGCTCAGGCAGCGAGACGGAAACTCGCGGACCAATACCCACAGTTGCACAACGCGGAGCTCAGCAAGACCCTTGGTAAACTGTGGCGGTGAGTACAATCTGATGGGTTGAAACCAGGTAACTGCAGTATACCGAACACTCATTGGTCTATTCCATGAGAAATTTGCAATTAACCCTTAATACTCAGTGACAACCTGCTTCAACAATCAATATTTCTGCATTTTGCCCGCAGTGGACTTAAGGATTTTGTATCCGCGCTGTGGAAGTGATGCGGTGTTGTCTGGAACTAATAACAGGCAACTCTGTTATTAAATATTCAGATACGGTATTAAACGGGCAGTAACTTCACTAAAATATTTATTTATTTTGTGTGACATGAGTGATTTTTATAATAATGACCATATTTTGTCTTTTATATATACGGAACTTTAGTCGATTAGAAGTCAGTAGTTTACTTAGACTGTACACCAGCTGTCTGGGGTCGAGGATTAGAATGTATTTGTCAGAATGGTTATGAATGGTGATTAAATAGTTGTGTTTCAGCCATTTTCATAAGTAATTCATTTTTAAATTGTTATTTGCGTGACCCTAAGAGATTCTCAATGTAAACAGAGATTATTTCCTTAAACAAAATTAACAAATTGATCTTTGTAATGGTGAAGTATTGTGTTTTCTTTGAGGTACGGATTGGATTTTTAAATGTTACTGAAATTATCTTTGGTTTCAGACGTGTTGGGAAAAGTATTGTCATTTCATACGATGTACTATGACGTACAGTGCGATCATTTTCGACCATACGCATGAATCGACTAGACAAGGAATAACCAGATTTTAATTAAATGTAATATTTGGACAGTTTTGCGGAAAACTGTAAAGCCATTTTAATTTCAATTTACTACGGACAATTTTAACGACTGATTTACATAAGAGCACAAATACCTTTCTGAGGTCATCTCTCAATTCCGTATTTCCTCGATTTTAAGATGCCATCGATTGTAAAATGTGCCCTTGAATTAGTAAGAGATTTTCAATGAAAAAGACGCTGTATCGATTCTTAGACGCAGCAAATGTAAGACAAGCCCCGATTTCAGAAATTTTAAAACAAAAAATAGTGCATCTTAAAATCTAGGAAATACATGTTCTTGCTGGAAGGTTGCATAAACTGAATTTGTTCCTTGCTTGAACAAATGTGAAGTGATACGTCGCATAAATGGATTTTAGCTTACTTCGATAATAAATGTACAGGCATACGCGACTTTAACACAATGACAGCTGCAGTGAAATTAAGTTTAAAACAACATTTAGCATAAATCTGTCATTTTATACCAAGAGTATTCAAAAACTAAAGTAAAGCTTATCATTACAAATAGTTGTCACTCAAAACAAATAGAAAAAATTCTTTTTCTTTATCAACAAATTCTTCCTACCTCTACACGTATTTACCGACTGTGTCTCCAACTTTGGACACATTTGTGGAACACTACTTTACCGGCCTAATTTACTTATTGGTAAATTACAGTCCCTAGAGATGTTGAACATTTAGTCTGTAGAAAGAGCTTGGTCCCTAGAGATGTTGAACATTTAGTCTTTAGAAAGAGTTTATAGTCAAACCGAGGATGCTAGGTGAATTAGACGTATGAGAAAACTTTTCATCTGTATTTCCATCAAAAAGAGCTATTGAGAAGTAAAATTCATGGCAAGAAGTTCCTAAAAAAACAGCTGTTTAAGCCTTTCGTCTTATTGCGATTGACGGTCAAGGCGAGCTGAAACGTACACTGGGAGTAGAATCTTACTGTGAGGGGCAGAGTTGCCAACTTATGGCTGGAAAAGTTTTGTACCAGAAAGCAAACAGAGCATATTTTGGAATGAAGAATTTTGCTGTTATAATTATGGGGATGATGAGAACTATTTTGAGTGGCGGATCTAGAGGGATCGCTTTTAAAGCAGCCTTTTACATAAACAAACTTTGCAACAGGAAACAATAACCCCGTTGAAGAACGGTCACTTCCGCTAGTAAAATTTTAAAAAAAGTCTTAACTTTGAGATTATTTCATCAGTTAAGATTTATGCACATGAATTTATTGACACTGGGGATTTCAAGAGAAATACAAAGTTTGTTTGCAATAATGTCGGTACTATCAACATCCTCTTACAGATATCAGCAATTGATCTGCCTTACACTCTGATGCTTATGGTATAAGGCCGTATGTCTTGATTAACTTTTAAGAAGTAGGGCCTGTAATTAATGAATAAACAATAAAAAAACCACGACAGCCATGTTTTAAAAATAAAGTCACTTCCTGTACAATGTCGATCGGGTCAACACAACTTCACTCCTCCTGATTCGCATTTCACAGGCACATATATAAACCACAACTTTCTAGAAAGCAATATTTAAACAAAAGCATGTAACATCATCACAAAGTATTTTTTACCGATCAAAAAGACCGTGCTATCTAAAGCGTGGTTCTTGAACGTTTAAATAGTAGGATCGTTGGTTCGAATCTCACTACAAGTTTGGATATTTTTCCCATTTTCTTTTGTGTTTTCCCCCTTGCGACGTCCAGACACCCCCTCCATCCGAGGAATCATAAAAATGTCGAAAACTGTTCACAATTGAATAGATTTGAATTATTAACCCATCGACAAAACAGGAGTGCTTTGTATTCGATGGGTTGATAGAACATATTTATTCATCTCTATTTAATGAAGATAATAAAAATTAGTGAATTTTGCCTCCATGTCTTGTTGCACAGTTAGAACTTAATTTTTTTTAAAAATATTTGTGCCCTAGTCGGGCTTTGAACTGAGATTCTAATGTTTGTATGGTTTAGAATTATTCAGACCGAACGTCAATTGTGATCAACTTATACTAAAAACAATTTGAAGCTCTCAGGGCTACTAAATGCAACATCTACCCTGATTATGGGGGACAGACAATTTTCGAAAGGTTAAATCGTAACTCTGTCATTCATCAGCTGATCGTCCAAAAGACTTCATCGCAGCTTATGCTAAATTAACGTCCGACTTCATTACAATTTCGAGACGTTTTGGAAATTTGACTTCCATCTTTCCGTGGCATGCAAAATGATTTGTGGAGCCCTGTTTTGTTTCTAACAAGATTTTTTTGGCTTCGTTATATTTGAAAACTCTCTCTATGACATTGGTCCATCTTGGTAGTAATTAGATACAAGTTGTGAGCTTTTGGCATAGGCGTTAATGACTGACGCTTTTGGAAACCAATTAGTAATTTAAACACACGCGGTTATAGCTACAATGAGGAATAAAAGGAATACGTCATTTCTTTCAATTAGTACGTAGGTTATGGTACGTTTTAATTTGAGTTGCAAATAACATTTCAGATTATAGGAATGTTTTGTAACTTTAATGGTCGGATGTTAAAATGTTTGTTGTAAAGTTTACGTAAATGTTTACAGTAGTTTATATTGACTTATGAGATTCTAGCTAACTACAAATCCGACAAAAATATTTTGTGTTTCGTGCATGCATAATATTCAACATACATTAAAATTTACTTTATCTTGGAAGTTAGCTAAAGTTGTTTTTTTAAATAACAACTAAGAAGGATTTTTATGTAGTAAAATTGTATTTTATTTCTTTGACAGTATATCAGAATAAAATGTTATCAAAATTGTACCTGCCTACATTGAGGAATAACGTCATTCCTCAATCTTCAGTGTTGCACCACGATTGTATATATAAAATATACTATAATAGATTTTGGAAGGGGTTTGAACCCATGAACCCCCTCCAATGAAAACTGCCTGCCAAAAACACGAACGATGGTCTGTCTATCAGTTTGGGTTTCTTTTCGTTAGCTCGTTTTTAAACGTGAAATGCCAGACTTAGTAATATTTCAAGGCGTGTATTTAATAGGTCATATCCAGACGAGCTGGAAGCTGATGTCAAGGCAGTTCTTATTAGAGCCTCCTAGTTGTAAAGTCTTTGTTGAATGTAGGTAGTGTAAACGTTTTCGTCGTCGGATGTTCTTTCTCTTTGTAGTGCTCTGCCTTGCCTGTAAATCATGGTTCCTCCAAACAGTTGCCGGCATAACAAAGCTCAAAAACAACACACATAACAGATAATTGCTGTGATTTTCGAAACAGACTATAACCCACTCCCACCAATTCAAACCACGTAAAAAGAAACATCTTAATATCACTTTCCAACACTGTGGTAGCAGAACCGAAGTTTCAACACCGTTAATATCAAAGTCAGCCATCAGGGTAGTGAACTAGTTTCACTCACTTTCTATCATCACAGTCTATTTCTCTCTAGTCTATACATCTTTGTAACAATATTTAATATCTATCTCGATCTCTATTGTGAAAATTTTTCAAAAAAATTCTTTACCAAAATTCTGTATGCATTCAGTGTATCCCATTGTATGTTTTCCTCGTGAGATTTCTGGGACAGTACTGAAAACACACTCCGATTTGTATCCATATTCTTAACCAATTTATAATGCACAGAAATTCTCCCATTTGACTTAAATAACTTATTCAATTGTCAGATTGTTCAATAACCAAATAATAAATCCCTTATTTAAAATTAGAATTTGTTGTGTGGTGATAAATTAATCGATTCTCACAATTCTTAACAGCGTTGTTTCAGCTACAGAGCTTAGGAAAATGCAGAATCCAGTAAGTCTGGATAAGATTATGAATCGTGAAGAGATAAGGATTTGGAATGTGGCGGTTATGGATAATTCCAGGGCAGGGTGCTGAGGCAGACACATAAACCCTCAGATTAACCACCTAAATACAGAAATTCCTTCCAGGTTATGGGTTCACGTCGTATAAATATCGCATATAATTTGAGATCGTGGGAAGGTGGTGAATTGATATGGTTACTCCAGGTAATTATCTAGCAAATATATATATATAAAACACTGTAAAAACTATTACAGTTGTCAGTCTAGCTGAGTGGAACTATAGTTCTTGACATGCTGATGATAGTACTTTAACAAATCAAGAAATTCCACGTCTTTTATGGAACGCGAAGATTCATTACCGTAATCACAGGAACCAGCCATTGGATCCTATTCTGAGCCAGATGAATCCAGTCCACATCCTCGCACGCTATTCTAATTGTTAGTTCACTTATTAAGGCACTATTATTTTATTTATTTAGTGTTCTGTCTGACGACAGGTCCATATGAACAGGATCCTTCCATCCTTTTCTCGGACTGGGACCTGTTCATATACGTTCTTGGCAGATGATCCAGAAGTGGTTTGCCATTGCCTTCTTCTGTGTGTGAATGGAGTAATTGTTGGGATGCCACGGAGGAAAACTCCGTGTTGCCTAGACCACGGCCTTGCCCAACACAAGTTATAAATTCGGGCACCGCCGGGAATCGAACCCGAGACCCCCAGGATTACAAAACAAAAATTAAACTCCGCCTTCTATATCATTTAATGAGAAACTCTAAAATCACGTGGGAGACCGAAGCTGTGTCTGTTATAGATTAAAAGTTTTTGTACAATAATACAGAGCATCTCTATTTTTACAGGGGAGGAGGGGGGGGAGTCTGTCTGTTTCAAGGAAACTGGAGTAAAAATGCGCGCACACACTCACAGAGAATAAAATAAAAAAAAGTTGAAAGCAATAGCGAAAGCCGACTGGCTCTATAAATGGATTTCGATTATTGACTCGAAGTTCCATGTCTTTTAGTTTTCGTAGAAGGTAAAGCCATTAAAAATGTGTATGTTTGTGTTGGTTCTATGTGTCTGCCACTTGACAGGATGCAGTCTTTTTCAAATGCTCCATTTCTCAAATAAACCAAACTTCTTTTTTTTATTTGATGTTTTGAAAATACTGCACATGTTATGCGATTATTTTTAATCGCTTTTCTCCTTTACAGAATAACTTCAACATTATATATAGTGAGCCATCATCGTCATTACTTTCAAAGTTGAATTTGTTTTTTAACTTCTTCATTAATAGCCGAACACTTTTTATGTGTAAACTATTTGCGTGCATAAAATAGAAAGATATTAAGCTCAGTCCGATGTATCAAAAAGTATACGACTTTCTCAAGTCAACACTGCGCTGCTTTAGAAGTCTGTCCAAGTCGCAAAATCAGCTGATTGTAAGTAAAGGGAAAACCAGTTGGTTATAATCAACTCTTTAAACTTTTTCCTTTACACTAACGTAAGTTATATATTCGCATTAAGTGGGTCCGTTATCGCCATGACCTCGGAGGCTCTCAATCCCTGACGTCATGGCTGGAAGAGACGACCTCGAAGTTTCGACGGGTAGCTATGGATGTCCTGAGAAAAACTTTGTGGTTGAGGATGGGAGATTCAGTTTCTCATGGCGTCGAGAATGATTATGCCTGGCTTATATGTCACTGCGCCGTGCAGTTTGGTAGAAGTTTACCGACTCCGGACCAAAGTTTGAATTTGTATTCAATGTCTTCCGCAGATACCTGGCCACTTCCGTAGCCTAAGTAGAAGACCTCTGACAGGGGACACGAGGTCGCTTCAGCAGTGATGATTACCGATTCGACCTACAACAAAGTTTTACGTTAATGTCTTGAAAAATCACAATAATAAATAAAGTCCCATAGTCGGGGAAATTGTCGACGTTTCGATACTGGAGATAGTTGTCCCAAATATCTGCCTTCATTTTTCGTAACTCAGAGTTTTCAGACAACCAACGAGGGAACTGGTTTTAGTGTTTGAGCTGCGAACAAGATTAGAAAAGTATACTCGCTGGAGTACACTGACATTTCAAAGGCGTTCTTCACGTTACATTGCGTGGATCATTGTTATAACAATATTATAGCATGGCATTATTGCGTCTTAAGTAAATTTACACATAGGTGAGCCGAGGTCATTGTCATTAATGTTATCTTCCTCCTTAGGAATGACGGAATAGGAAGACATACGTAAATGGACTTCCCGAACAAAGACCTCGGATCATATTAGTGTAACAGTGACCTACATGATGTGGAAAGAAGAACACGTTTGGAATGTAGTGTACTCCAAAGAGTGCATCTTTCTAGTCTTGTGTTGTATACAGCCCAGTGCTGTGAAAACGCAAATATGCGTGTGTACTTACATGTTCAAGCAAAGGGTTTGTGACGTATATTCTCGTGGTTACGGTATAGAACACTGTAACGCTTAGACGTAAATATGCGTTTTTCTCCTCAAAGACTTCAGAATATTCTCGTATTTCAGGATACTCAGCGAGGAGGAGAAACAGCCCTTCATAGAGGAAGCTGAGAGACTGCGAAGCGCTCACAAGAAGGACCATCCTGATTACAAGGTAAGGAACTACTTTGCGCGATTCACATCAGACAGCGGGAAAAAATTACCTAAATTCATGGAGCCGAGTAGCTAACAGCAGTTCAGCTAGTCAAGAAAGCCTCTGCCCTTTATGGAATGTTTATTAACGTGTTCACAAATGTCCGCCATTTGGCCTTGTCCTTAGCTAGCTGAATCCAATCCACACACTTAAAATTTTTTTTATAATACTTTTTAATATTATTCTCCCACATTTACCAAGGCATCCAAAGGCCATTAAAGGTTTATATTACAAATTTGTGATCATTTCACATCTTTAAATCGTGTGTTATATATTTGGTGAAGATTATAAAACTGTTGGGATTTGAGGTTTTAACGGCGGTGAGTTTGAAGATGGCTGTCTTCAGGGTTGTTGGACTACTGCACGGCGCAACAACCCAGAAGACACCCATCTTCAGGCTCTTCACTGTTTATTTTTTTCCACCCTCCTGATACTTGCTTTCTCTTAGCGCCAGATAGCCTTCAACAATTTGTTCTTGAACACCATCTGTCTACGTACTTCTCTTCGGGGTGAGAGACCGAGTTTAACACTCGTTCAGTACAACACGTAGCAATGTCTGATGGTAAAAGTACAATGAAACCAATTTGGCGTTGAATGAGGTGGTAGAAATACCATCCTACAGTAAATAATAACATGAGATGATAATTCTTCACATCATTACGCTACTGAACTAAAACTCTGTGTGTCGATAGTATCAACCTCGACGACGGAAACCGCCCAAATCAGCAACAGCAGGATCGGCGCCATCTTCCGTTCTGACCGACAATGGAGAACTACCTGGAACTTCCGGTGTGAGTTCCTCGTCTTCTTCAGTTGGACCAGACCCCACCCCATCTCGGTGTCATCGGTAAGACAAGTCAAAACAGTACATTCCTGTTAATTTTAATAAGATTTAAGTTAAATACCATAATTTATCATGAAGAGTACAAATTGCTCCCCCCTCTGTTACTGCCTCCCTCTTAGAATTTTACTTTTAAAACATTCATAACCTATAGCCCTCTCTTAATCTGAAAGATCAGGTTTTACATCCGTACAAAAGAACTTTTTTTTCCATTTGTTACATTATGCATCGTATAGGCTTTTGGTTAATGTTGTCCAATTCCTTAGTAAATCATCATCCGTAAAGATCTAGGCCGTGGGAATTGGAGATAAAATGCATTCTTAACCTCGCCTAGATATTTGTGTTGAGCTTTACGCTCCGGCCCATTTATTCTCGGAGATAAAACGCCCGGTATATATTACGCAGGGTCTGTCATATTCTGACACATTTTGAAATTAATACAAGAGTCATGTAAAGCCTACATATAAGAATCTCATTTTCTGACATTTTACATTTTGGAAACATCGTCTTGAGATGGCCTCCGTCCTTCTACAAGCGTTCCTCCACTCTTGAGCACAGGGTTTCCTTTACTTTGTGGCAAATCTGGAAATTTAATTTGAATTTATTTTTAAATTCTGTTCTTCAGCTCGAAGATATTTCGATGACGGTCAATGTAAACTTTGTTTGCATCCGTCGATGTTATAACGGTTTGAGCTGTCGATCGATTTTGCTGGAACCATATCGATTCGAGATGTCGACGGAGACGTTGTTACCAAATTCGAGCTAAAGAATCGAATTCTGACAATATGTCTACATTTAGGACAAAACCGTCAAATATACCAAGACGAGTGATAGAAATAAGGTACACCCAAGGGCAGATGAATGTTTTGTGAAGGAATACATCTTCAAGACAATGATTTCAAAAAGTTAAATGTTAGACGAAGTGTTTTGATGTACATTTGACTTTTTAGCCCACGTTTTGTATATAGAGCTTTTCAAATTGTGAATCTGTATTTCATAACGAGTCAAGTTATTATGGCGGATCGTATATTGGGATCCAACGTGAATCTGGACTCCGTGGAAAATAGGACTTCTTGCCATAGCTGGGAATTAAACCCTGGTTTGTTCAGAAAGTAGCCAGTAAAATTTTAAATTCTTCATAGTTAATTGAAGGCCTGCACAATAAATACCATATAACTTTCATATCTGTTCAGACTTTATTTATAATTGTCTTTCACCTTGAAACGTAAACTTCCCCATGCTGAAATTCTGAAGATTCTATAAATGGTTAGTGTCAATTGTCGAGATATGGCAGGATAGATTTTCTTCTCATTAACATTGCAACACACCAAAGATGAAATGCACCGGTTTCAGAGCAATAAAACTTGTTCGTAGCATGGAAAGTGTTAACATTTGCTATTTTATATGAGTTGTCTTGTGGCTTGTAGTCTCAACAGTGTCTCAATAGACAATGCGTGATCTTTCAGTTATTGACATGCGTTTTCAACATAAAGGACCGAGGAAAAGGCTGGTTACAGAATTTTCGGCAAAACATCGGACAGCTAGTGTCATTAATCTTGTAGTTAAACGAGTAGAAACAACGGAGTGTATTGAACATAATGGCGGCTGTAGCCGGAAACGAATGGCGAACACAGAAAACCAAATTGTAACGCGAAGACAAGCGAGGATCTTACCTGTCGGAAAGAAAAAAACATGGCAGACCGCGTCATACGAGTTACCGGCTCTGACACTTCCCAGATTCTCTTATGTTAAAACACTTTTATCGTATCCGTTGGCAAAAACGTTTTCTTAGTCGAAATGAAAGGAAGAAGCAAAACAAACAAACAAGAAACTAATGTAACAGACTTCACTTCCGAAGTAGAGCAACTTGCTAGGAGCTCGTAGGGGTTATGCACTAGACTTGTAGCCTACTCAGTTTGAATCTGTTCTGTTCTGGCATGGATTTAGTGAGGTCTTCAGACAAATTATGGATGTTTATTACCTTAAAACGGTCTAAACCTCTCTTTTTCCGAATCCTTACTTACCCACCGTTCATAATCATAATCATCATCTTACCACATCATTTGAACTATAGAACCTTTGAAGTAACTGCAAAGTAGTCGGCAATCAAATATAAAGGAGGAGTTCAAGGTTTATTTTATAATCTAACCTAACCTAACATAACCTAACCTAACCTAACCTAAACAATAACCAAGAATTGAACTTCCACAGTGGTTGCGAAATAACTGGATGGAGAAAATTTCTTTTTGAGAACAGTCGCTCATTTAGTCGAGACATTTCCAACATTTTACGCTACAGTTCATTATCGTATTCACAACAGCCAGTCACTGGACCTTATTCTAAGAAAGTTGAATTCAGTTCACACCCTATCGTAATAATTATCATAAACGGATTAGTCCTCGTGGTCTACTCAAATTCAGAATTATTTCTGAAATTATGAATCAGATATTTGCGTAATTAACCACGTCCGAAAATAAATTTACGTGTGTATTCGTTAATGTGACTGACGTTAATATGATAGTTTAACGGCAGCTTAAGGCTGTGTTCATATACAAAACGTTTCTTCATCTAATCTGATTTATGTACAAGTGCAACGCTTATAGAAGTCAAACTTGATGATAAATTCATTTGAAGATGTTGACATTAGGCCTAGAATCAATTATACTTGTTGTTAATAGGTTTAAAGTTCTTTCCTGTTCAAGGTATCGATGCTCTGTTCGCAGGATGAAGTTGTGTTTGCCCGACTCCCCACCAGGTCCTGACTGCAGTTTCGCCAAACTTTACGCCGACAGAGACACGGCGGAAGCTTCCATCAGGCAGTCAGTTAACTCCGAAGATCTTGCTGCTCACAAGGCATATTCCTGGTAAAATGAACGACTAATCTGAACCACAACATGGTTTCAGCATCATTAGTTGTTTAGCTTATAAATACTTAACCAAATGATTTAGTTACTGGCTTGCTATTTAATGATTGAGGCAAAAAATTACGTTTTTAAAAACAATATTAAAAATTCGACGACTAAACGAATTTGAATCAAACTCCGAATAGAATAAATAATCCGGCCTGTAATTCGTAAGTACAGAGCAGGACACATTTAACATGTGCGTTTGTTACTAGCTAAAGTACGCGTTGTTCTTCACGGCTTTTGTTAAAATAAACTGTAGGTACTTAAATGATAAAATTGTTTATTTCTTACGTCACACGCCCTTAATAAACTATTACTTAGTAACTGTAATTGCGTGTATATTAGATGATTTTTTTTTCAGTATCGTATGTCATATTTATTAAATTTAATGTTGCAAATAAGCTAAAAAAACAACATTTTAATCTCTTACTCATTAAAATCAAGTTCCAGAAGCAAGAGGATTTGTCACACACGCGTCTTGTTTACCGCCTTGGCGCCGTATGGTGGTAAGCCTTATAAATACTGAATATTTGCTGTTATCTGGCTTGTAACGATGTTTAGTCTGATAGAAATTTATCAGCGTTTCTGAGGCGAGCATGATTTGTTGTTCTAATTTGATCCATTCGGTCTTCTACGGTTGGCTAGCGACGAAACAGTTGAGGACATAGATAGCTTTAAGTAATAGGCCTGTGTGCTACATGGTACGGGGTAAACAGAAGTGTGTTATTTGTAGACCACTACCAGAGTACCAACAGTCTTCTTGTGGCGAAATTGTACAAATTATTGTATTTATCACCAGTTTTGCTCGAAGGCTTATCATGGACCAGACGATTCGATACATACTATTAAAAAATTAATTTTCCGCAGAGACTCCAACCCAGGGAAAATTTCGAGTTTGTTGCGTATTTTTTCGCCGAAACAAAGAGTTCTATGCGTCTTTCGTCTGTCATGCTTAGATTCCGAATAACAGAAATCATCTTCACCAGGATTCGAACCCAGGAATGTTTCAGGTTTGTGATCGCTTTTCCTGTAATCTTCTAGTAGAAACAAACAACTTTGGTCATGGCGACGTTCTTCAATCGTGTTTAATTTCCAAGATTCCATAATCACCCTCACCGGGTTTCAAGCCCAGGACACTATTTCGTTGCCTTGACATTTCTAAAATATCTTTCTGGTTTCAATGAATAAGCATGGCTAGTGTGGTAAATATCTTTTCTCAAACTGTAAGCGAACACATTTCCAGTTTTTTTTATATATAAGAACATGGCATCTTGTTTCAAACGAAGAGTTGGTCTCTAAAATCAAAACGCAGCGTAAGAAAATAAACGAAGAGATGGCTTTCCCTGTGGAATGAGTTAATGGCTGTACTTAGGTGTGGCGTCCTACTTCGGTACTTGTACAGAAAAAGATGTATTGATTTATGAAATTAATTAACATTCGTTAACGCGAGAGGGCCATGTTATGGTTCTAGCGGCCACTCCCAGTACCAGTTGGTGGCCGGCAGTGGAGTCGACTCCTCAGGTGGCGCAGATAGTCACGTCATGTCTCGTCACCACCACCAAACCTTCTCACGCCACACGGGTGGCAATTCTGGTTTCGTTTATGGCACCACTGCATCATCAGCTCCCGGAAGTTCCGGTCTGGCGGGAGGTCCTACAGGTACAGCAGGTTTCGGCCTGAGATCCCCGGCAACTCCCACAGCAGGAGGGTACGTTCCCGGACCTGGGGGCGACTTTCTTCACCACCATCACCATCTGCACCCATCGGCCACAGCGGGGGCAGGCATCTCCAATACGTCACACCATCAGTCAGCACCTCCTCCTACAAGCCCTTTTCCTGCTACGAGCTTCCCCGCCACACATCATCAGGCATTCTACCCTTACGGGCCGCCCCAAGGGCCCTACTACATGTCACCCAGGTAATAGACAGAAGTGTAATCCTAATATTAAAAGTGCTGGGGTTGGCTGGCGCGCAGTTACAAGTTTAAAATGGAAGGTCATTCATAAATCGTGATATGATAGCTTTTTTCATTGAAATGCATACTTGAATGATTAACAGCTCAAAAAGGGGAAATAGGGGTAGTGTTTTCTTCTTTTTCTGCAAGTTCAGAAATAATGCACTATGGGCTGGACTTTAAGCTTATATGGAGAAAAAATGTACCAAGTGTTCTGATGAATTTATTTATTTATTGCCTATTTAAAAATGCTGACAGTAGCTCAGATAATATAGCAAGAAATAATATGATGATTAAGTAATAATGAATTGAAAAGGATGTGGAAGGAAGTAGTTATGGCCTAATTTAAGGTACTATTTTGGAATTTAAATTAAAAGTCTTAATAACCATGAAAAACCTGTCAGGATAGCTGGTGTCTGGCCAAGATTTGAACTTGGGACCTCCCACGTAATTTTTTTGGAGCTAAGCTTTAGACACAAGAATGATAGGAACTTTTTATTCGGCTGTCCAACAGTGCTTTATCAGACACTTATGCTATACAGAAATGAATGAGAGCTTGTTGAGGAAAGTGGTGGTTTATCTTATTTTAATATACACTCCCAGAATTTCTAAGGAGGGACTGGGAAAAATCAGGAAAAGTGTCAGACAAGATTGCTCTTCTTCTGTCAAAGAATGTTCAAATCTCAGACCTTCAGAATATGACAGGACAAGGCAAGTTGTATTACAGAAACAGGCTGTCACGATGTGAGGAAGACAGTAGAGTTCTTCAAAGTCAGAACAGACCAGTGACATATCCTGTAGCTGATACTGTAATTTTTTGATTGACTATTCTAAAATACTACTTCAGTTGACTGCAAATTAAAAAAAATAGTAATGTTAAAGCTGTGTTTATGGTTTTTGTTGACATTTTATCATGTTAGCTTCTATAAGGGCCACTGGCAAATATCCTGAGAATGGATTTCAGCACCACAAGAGACACTGATGACTCACAGGACTGTATCATTTATATGAAGGCTCAATCTCCATGGGGTGAAATAATGTATTTTTAATACCACAGCTGGGTCAGAAGAGATGCATAAAGTATGCGAGAGATGGCTCATACAATAAGGTTTTGTGATTTTGTTTTTACCAGTTCAGGGTTAGGGTCACTGGTGGATCATGGGACAAAATTTAAATTCAGTATAAATTGCTTGGAAGCAGTGTATTAAAGGTTAGGTTTTTGTCATAAATATATTGTGTTTCTGTATTTGGGTACTAGTGGGTTATCGGGACACAAAATGGGAGAGTCGAATATCTGGATTCATATTTAGCTAAGTTCTTGTGGCGGCGTACAAATGATAACGGCGATATTTTTAAAACGATTCTAAAATCTATTAGCGAATTTTGGCCTCCGGAGACAGGTTGTAACAACAATTAACATCTCATGCATATCCAAATAAAATATAATAATTTGTTATTTATTGAAATAAAATATAATAAGTTTCAAGTATATGCCATTTATCCACACACATTAACCTAACCTATTTTTAAAGCGATGTGTACCGATAACCCACAAGTACCTGTATTTGTTACATCAGAGTGACTATATTTTCTGTTGTAGAAAATGAAGGATTGGTATCATAGTATTCAAGTCCAACAGTGTATAGTGCAACTTACACTGTCAGTTTTTAGCAAACTGCAAAGTAAGAAATCTCAATTTTTATAAAAATACTAATATTCTGTGTGTCATTTCATAATAAAGAGAAATGAAATTTTTTGATGTTATGGTCGTAAATAAAAAGCACTATTTTCAATTGTCATTAGTCTTCATTTGATCTGTGACATAAATTTATGTAAGTCAGTAAATACTATTGTTTGCTGATATAATGAAGAGGCTGATTGTTTATGACAGGCAACTGAAGCAAATTAATTGTACCTGAATGTTACATTTCTTCCCAGAATCTCACTATGAAGCATAACAGTTCTTTCTTAAGTAAAGTATGTGGGTAATTTAAATCCAAATTATGTTGGTGTCATTTTCCATACAGGTGAAAGATGGCAGTGACTGTATAATGAGGAATTTCTGACTCAGATCAGTTGCCAGGTGGAAGCATTATGTAGCAGAAGTGATACACCATGGTCTAAGAAACATCCAGAAGTTTGTGTTTGTCAGCATCTGGTTTTCAGTTACACTATATTCCATGAAGTTCCGAGTTCAAAAATGAACTGTGTGTAGATTGAATGACTCAAATTAAAATAAAATGAAAACTTTTACATCAGCCTTACCAACTTTGTGACCTGTAAAGCTGGACTATGTCCCTATGTGTGACCCACACATTAGAACATAAAAGACATTAACAAACCTGCAGGACATTTTAGGGATAACATTTTGTCCAAAAAATCAAAACTCAATTTAGGCCTTGAATAGCATATTCCATGTATGTGGAGCTACATGAGTTTAACTTACCTAATTTTTCCTTTTATGCCGTTCTGTCCCTATGATGTGCTCCAGGCCATAAAATCAAATTTTAAGAATAGCTTGGAAATGTGTACCTATGTATTTGAGAGTTCTGCTTTGAACTGTTAACTTAAAACGTTTATTTATGTTTCTAAGGTGTATATGTCTCTGTTTGTTGTTGAATATTTAATAACAGTATACATTGCTTTTTTTTTTATTTTTCTGTCATCATAATTCAGAGAGGTGGAAATGGTGCATGGCATATTAAGTTCTAGTATTAACACAAAGTGTGTGTAAAGCTATTTCCACTGTTAGTGAAAACAAAGATCTTAAGAAGACTTCATTTTTATCTTTTGTCTAAAAAACAGTTTGAAAGTCAAAATAAGAAAGTAGTGAGGGAAGGTTATTGAAACAATGGAAGCTGACTGTGAACTGAAATATAGACCCTACATAAATAACATGGCCTTACATATTGTATGAAGACCTACATAAGTGTCAAATATAATTCAATAAATGCTGCATATGTCAAAATATTTTGATTAGAGAATTATAATCTGTAACAAAAGGAATATTATGTGAATATCATGTGCCATTTTTGAGGTAATGATTATCAAATATTATTTGTGATCCAGTTTGCATTTTGTGAATCGTACAAGTTTTCATCAAGTTTCTTGGTAACATATTTAGTTTCACCACTGAAAATACATGTTTTGGTATATTTGTTTTGACTATATTTATCATTTGCTGTCACAGAGTTATGTCAGTAAGAGAAGTGGGCTGTTAATAGTCGGAAATTTCATGTTGTTTACCAGTGTGTTAGGTACATATGTGTTTATGTTGTCTTCCTCCAACTGGATGATTGGTTTGATAAAGAAATTTTTCCAGTTCATGGATATCATAAATTAACTGTATGATTATAACTTATGAGATTAAATTTTTATTTATTGCAAATTTTCTTTCTGTAATTAAGAAAGTGTATCTTGCCATTCAGACACTGTTTTAATAAATTTAGTAAAAATTTAACAATTTCATGCTGGATAATGTTATGGATTTCATTGCAAATGTAGTGTTTCTTTTCCCCATGAAGCAGTTTTACAAATTTGAAAGTGGGGAGTGTGATTCTCATTTACTATGACAGGGTCTAGAATTTCTGAATATGATGTTCACTTAGCAAGGATAAAATATGGTGGAATTATGGTGGGAAATAAACTTGGTTTTGGATGGCTTTCTTTTTGCATAATATGTGAAATTGATTTAAAGACTTTTATCTTTCATGTATTGGAATTTCTTAGCATTGAGTTTAATATTTTTCCCAAGATTTCTTAGGCTATTGTACAGATGAAATAAATTATAAATGTATTTGTAAATACAAACATAACTTTTTTCTAAATGTATGCTTTCCTGGAGTTTAATATTTAATTTTTAAATGTTTGTTTGGTGTTTGTTTGTTTGTTGCTTCCTTCCTCAAACTCTCTTTGATACTTCACAGATCATGGATTGGCTTTTTTCTTCAGAGTCAAAGTTGAAGATTTGTTCCACGTTAAATTGATATCAAAATAAATATGCAGTATCATGATTCAAAATCCACTTGTTGGTTCATGTATTTGAGGCGTGCCCATCCTCCTCTCCAATGGATAGTTACCGAGTCACAGCACTGAGCTAACTGCACACTTCTGTCTAGTGCCAAAATTAATAATTTACTGAGATGTATCTCCACTCCTCACATAAATATGGAGTCATTCTTTAAGAACAAGGACAACTTTTATTATTTACTAGAGCAAAGCGCTTATAGTAGATATTATAAATAGAATACAACAATGGCGGGTAAACAAATGTTTGTTGACGTCATTTTTTTTTGACTACAAATTGGTTGGCTACAAATAGGTTGGCACTACTGTAAACGCGTTTGCGCGTTGCTGCTGCTGCGTTTGCAGCTGTGCTTGTATTATCTTAGGTATTATAATCCCGGCAATATTAGGTATTATTTTTTTGTCGATAATTGAGACAGAAAGTGAATGATGTGTTCATTTGAAGTAGTGAGAACTGAGCTGATTGTAAGTATGTAAACTATACGCATTTCATACTGCATTTATTGTAGATGTAGAACTGATCATACTTAACCTTACCTTGAAGAGGACAGCCTTCTTGGATACCACGCCGAGTAGTCCCCTGAAAGTCGTCTTCATATTGACAGCCAGAAATATCATCCATGCTTTGGTTTATGTTTATGGTTTATCAATGGTTCTGTTAACAGGAGAGTGTGAAGAATAGTTTCGAAAGAAATAACACAGACATACTAAGGAAGAAATATGACACGTTCAAGGTGAAGTAAGTAACCTCCACATTTCCTTTTCAAAAATTTAGCACTTATAGAAGTACATTTTGCAAGTAAAATCAGAAATCTGACTATAAGTTAACAATGTATTTTACCCTTTTACTTTGTTTTGCAGTGAAAATGATAAAAGGTCAGCATTGGATCAAGTGTTAAGAGATTATTTGCTCCAGCTTCTTGCAGAACCTTGTAACAATGTATCAGTATGGGAAATGTATGTTACGTTTTGCATTGAGGCTTGCCGACAAGACATGTGCACACCTACAATGCCAGTTGTTCTCCTTGGTGATATCTTTGATGCTTTGACACTTGATCAATGTGAAAAATTGTTTGCATTTGTTGAGAATGGAGTGAACACTTGGAGAGAAGAAATGTTCTTCAGTGCTTGCAAAAATAACTTGCTCCGAATGTGTAATGGTAAGACTGATTAACTTTACAGAACATGTATCAATTTGAATAACTTAGCACTGTTACTTAACCAGAAAAGTTACCATCTGCTTTTCATAGTATTTTCATGGATACTTTTGCAGGAATTTGCTATAATTGCATAGATTTATGGTAATTGCAAAATTAGAGTCTTTAATGAAAGGTTTCCTTGTCTGTGCTGGAAATTAATATTTGGACCCAGTGTTTATCAATATATTTTTTGGATTACATAAAATTACATAATGAAAGGCTTTACAATTTATGCTATAATATATTTACTAAACTTGGTGAAGAATCCTTTAAAGAAGCTAATAGTTATTGCATGGCAACTTAGTGCTGAACCCTGAGGGTGGGCCTTCTGCAGAGTGAGACAGTGGTTAATAGTGATGGCTTGGCGGATGGACTAGCATGACAACTTCCTCTCTTATGTTGTATGGGTCTAGTTGTGCATAGAAGAAAATACAATCTTTTTATTAATTTTTTTCATCTATGAAATTGAAAGTTGGGTTTAAAAATCGAAGAAGGCACTTAAAAATAATAATCTTTGATAAAAAGTACTTGAATTGTTATGTGTTTACAATATTGTTTAGAAAACTATGCAATTTGAATAAGACACAAAGAGAAATCTGAACCATTTTCCCCATTTATTTGTCTTCATATAAATTCCAAAATTCTTCTTTATCTCTACTTCCTGCATGAATAATCCTTCTTTTGTTTACTTCATCCAAAAAGTCATCTTGTGAATATTGCTCTTCTAACTTCTTTATGTTTTGCCATTTTTCTTTATGCATTCAGCAAATACTTTTTCACAAAACATTCGCAGTTTCTTGTACAACTCTATTTTTGATGTCTTGAGAAACCAATTTAATACGATTGAAACAAGAATCATATGGAGGAAGGTGCAGTGTATGGGGCGTATTGATGTGAAATTGATACAGATGGTGCACGATATGATCCTGTGATGGGCCTACATGCAGTCTTTCAGGTGTCATAAAATCAGGACTTTTTTGACCATGTGATTTAGTATTAACTGCATAAGAATAATCCACTACCATGGACAGGGGAGTCATGGTCTAGCAGAATTGTACCGTGGAGCCTTTTCTTTAACTGGTCTGCACTTGGGTACTAATGAGTGTAAGTTAGTGTTAAAAAATCGGGAAACAATAAGTAAATGTTGACCATGTAAATTTATGAGAAAATTTCCAAAAATCCTTTTTTAAATTTTCAGAAATCTCTTAACTGTTATCATAGCCTGTCCTATATTCATACTAACTGCATGTCATTGTGCGCACACAAATTCTGAAGTACTCTAATGTTCTTTTTGTTTGATATTGCAGATTTGCTAAGACGATTATCTCGATCTCAAAATACTGTTTTCTGCGGACGAATACTTCTCTTTCTTGCTAAGTTTTTCCCATTTTCTGAACGATCTGGTTAGTATATTTTAATTGTTTTAATCATGAATACAATGAAGAATGTGTAAAGTGACACTTTATGAAATGGAAAATTGTCTTTGATGGACTATTTTTCTAGTCTTATGATAAAAAAAGAAAGAATTGTGAATTGTGTCAAAGGGGTGGAAACTGCTAAGAAGATATAGAACTGGAGAGGTCTATTAACAATGTGGACTGCAGTGTTCCAATTGAGGTGACTAAGAAATATTATTACTGAATTACCTGCGCTGTAGGTTTGGATTCCACCTGATTAAATGGGTATGCAAGTTGGGCACTGCAGAAAATTTCAGTTTGTTTTGAAATAGGTGAACTAATCACTTATATGTGAATGGTGGTAAATATTCTGTTGTCATATTTTGTGGTTGTAGGGCTGGGTTCCAGAAATGAACAGATGTCAAACCCCTCCATACATGCAAAAGTTATAAGAGAGTTAATTTAGCATCCAGACAATATCCAAAAGGTTAAATGTAATTAAAACTCAATTTTATAGAACACTAAAGTAGAAAGTTTAAATAAAAACTTTAGTATTTAGAGTGAATGGTTGTATGAATAGAAAGCTTTGAGTGACTAGAAATGAGAACATTATTGAAAAGGTGTAGGGGTTTTAGAGCATGTGTGGGACAAGTTTTATTCTGGTGTATTTATATTATGTATTAAGCATTATAATACAATGTATGAATAACAAATTTCACTTATTCTCTTTTCCTGAGGTCTGAACATTGTGAGTGAATTTAATCTTGATAATCTGACGGAGTTTGGTGGTGAAAGCTCAAATGATCTGAAAGATATTCTGGCAGAAAAGGATGAGGCAATGGAAGAAGATGTGAAACCAGATGCAAAGTAAGAAGAATTAATGCATTCAATTTAAGTCACTGAATTTCTTTTTTAAGTAATTTAATAAAGATTTTGTACTACATTTTTACTGATTTTGAAACTAATCAAGATTTTGTTAAAAGGAAACCCAAAATAAATATGGAAGGTAAGCATTTATCTGAAGTCACTTGTGATCTTCCAGGTTGTGATGCCTTTGAAATTAAAGGACTTTGTAGTTTTCACAGTCAGAAAAACACAATTCACATTTTGAACGTCATGTAAACCTCAGATCTCCCTTGTATGATACATTTTATATTCAGAATGGTTTGAAACAAAAAAATGCTTTACTGCCATTGTTCTTAAACTTTGGTTTAGAATATGGCATTCAGGATGTCCAAGAAAATCTACAAGGATTGGAATTGAATAGGAGACATCAGTTTCTGTGGTGACGACCTTAATTTATTGAATAAAAATGTAAATAATACCCCCCCAAAAAAAAAAGACTGTTGTACATAGAAGATGGCCGTCTTCTGGGTTGTAGCACAATGTTGTCTGGTAAGAAGTTTTAAGAGTTGTCGCTGGAGGCAGCAATGACGTCTGCAAGCCAGACCACTTTGTGCTCACAGATGTGAGAACCTCATTTCATATTATTATGCACGAGTAATTGTTTGACGGTAAATGCAGTATATGTTATGTCTTTTTACGAGAACGCATACAAAATTATGATATTGAGGTGGTTGAAAATCCCTTGCAAGTGTGACAAGTCCTGATGTTTGAGGATTAAAGGAATAAATTTGCAAATAAAATAAGAGTAAATTGAATTCAGGAAACACCTGATTCTATTCAGCTCTGAATATTTTATCTTCCCATCTGCTATCTAAAACCTTAAGGGAGGAACAGATTTAGGATATTTAAGAATAGGGTGCTGAGGAAAATATTTGGATCTAAGAGGAATAAATGTTATGAGCTGCAGAAAATTTCATAATGATGATCTTTATAATTTGTATTCTGTACAATATGTTATTAAGATGATCAGTCAAGGTGGGTGAGGTGGGTGGAATATGTAGCACATGGGGAGATAAATGCATACAAAATTTTAGTTTGGAGATTACGGTACTTGTGGGTTATCGTTCATTCAGTTATTTGTTGCTGTCCACACACATTAACCTAACCTATCTTTAAAGCGATGTGTCCCGATAACCCACAAGTACTGTAGTTACTTAAGAGACTGAAATATTTTAAAATTATGGTTTTGTATGTATTGTTACACTGAGAGGTAATCTTATTTTTTTTAAAGGATCAAGATAGATTACAATCTGTACTGCAAATTTTGGGCTCTACAAGATTTCTTTCGCAATCCAAATCAGTGCTACAGCAAAGTTCATTGGAAGACATTCTCAGCTGTGAGTGATGACTGTTTCCTCAAATACCCTCCTTATTTACTATTTTTATTATCAGCAATGTTTTTGCTTTTCTTTTTCTTTCTCTGTTCAAGTGTTTCAACAATTGTTACATCAAGATAATAGGTTTATTTTTGCAGAATTAATTTCTAATTGATAAGATATAAAGTAAGCTACTATCTCAAAATATTTTAGATATATTATTGTGCTATATTGTTACATATTTAAAATTTTAAGATATACCAACCAATACAGCTTCTCACCATGGAGACAAGAGGTTTATGCCCAGTAGAGTCCATGTTGGATTTGTGGTGGACACAGTGGCACTCCATATACATGACGTGTCATCTGGGGGGATGAACAGTGGTCACATTGGTGGCCACAGTTCTACGAGTGGAACAGGACTCTGTCTGTATGAAGAACTGTAACATTTTATTTTCCAGCATGCATCAAATGTGTTGCTGGCATTCAAAAGTTTCAAACTTGATGATATGCAATGTAAGCATCAGAAACTTGACACTTCAGATGAAGACAGACAGCAGCAGCAGCAACAACAACATTACTTTGCTAAGTTCTTGACTAATCAGAAACTACTGGAACTGCAGCTTAGCGACGCGAACTTCCGGCGCTATGTTCTCCTTCAATTTCTCATCTTGTTCCAGTACCTCAACTCTCCTGTTAAATTCAAATCGTAAGCAGAAAATCACTTTTTTTTTTTTAACATTTCACCAGTCATTTTTGTGTTAGTGAACCAGTCAGGTTGATGACATACGTTATTCTGGGCCTGCCCCATTTTAGTCTTGCCAATGTTTGAGGGCTTCTTTTTTTGTTGCATTGTAATTTACATATGAGATGGCCAAAATTTAGGCATTTAGTTGATTCTTTAATGGCACATTATATTACTTATAAAACATTTAATTTTCTTGTCCTGCTTCTTATTGGCGATGTAAAAGTGTGTTGTAAATGTTATTACATTTTAATAAATAATATTGTAAGTTCTTGTTTAGCCCTCGTCTGTGGGGCGATCAGAAAATAAGTTTAACTTAACTTAAAATGGTTTTCACAATCCTCAATATAAACAATACAGTGTAATTGCAATACCCATAAACTATTTTTATACACAATATTCATGGAGACTGAGACACTTTTCGTAATATTGTTCGAGTTTTTCTATTCCTTGTGCATAGAAATAAGTGTCATGTTCCTTTAGCCATTGTTTTATCGCTGTTTGCATATTCTTGCTAGTTTGGCACCTCTTGAGATTTTTCATAATCTGTTTTTAGCATTGATGCAGTGACTGAAAGGCCATAGATTTTAAACTAATTACAATTTGGAAATTGCAGTGGAATGATTGTGTTATAAAAGAACGTGGCACCCTCGACTGTTAAGTGTAAAGCTGGGGCTCAAGCTTTGCCTCCACTTCCTGATATGTCTCTTCTATGGCTGTCCGGTCCGTGTTCGGTCCATGGCCTCCTCAGTTCTTCTCTTCCATTCGGTCCTCTGTTAGGTCCGTCTGTCCGAAGCTTTGATTGAGGTTTTGAAACATCTTCCTTTTTACGGTGCAAGGTTGTTAGCCTTGCGACTAACCCCCAACCTGGAGGACCAGGGTACCTGTCTTAGTCTGACCTCTCCCCCTCGACCAATCTGGCTAGGGAGGCCCTACCAGTAGCTATGTTACCGCCAGCATAGCTCTTGGGATCACTGAGGTACTCAGCCCCACCACCATGACAAGGTGCAGGTACCATTAAGTGGGGCCGTGATGTGTCTTCATATTATTTTTTAGGCGTAAGATGTGTTTCATAATTGCTTTTTATCAACAGCTATGTTTATTTGGTACTAAATGAGATAAAAATGATGATTTTGAAGGAATATATGAGGAAATGTGTTCAATTTTGTGTCAAGTTACTATCTGGCAGTGCCTGAAGTGACTGAGGAAAATCATGAACATTGCGGTCAGTATAGTTCTTCTTCAACTGTGATTCAAACCGTGTCCCTCCTCAATGCAAGTATTGTTTCCTTCGTAGTTTGTTCTTTCTTTTGAGTTTATCAGTGTATCAACTCTGTCGGTTGCGTTAAATAAACTGACGGTCATTTAAGTTTAATGGAAATGTTGGTTGGCTCCTCTTCTCAGGGACACACACGAACTAAAGGTTGATCAGGCAGATTGGGTGAAAGAGAAGACAGAAATGGTTTATTGTCTGCTGGAGGAAACACCGCCTGACGGATTAGCATTTGTTCAGACTGTTAAACATATCCTTAAGGTAAGTTCTTGTTCGGTTTATTTTAACTGTGAAGTGTTCGTATTACAGATAAGAGTAAAAATGTAAGAGCCATGCGTGTGACTAATGCACTTCTTTTACCAATTGGACTTTATTTAGAATATTTACAATTGGCACATATGTTCGTCATTTTATTAATATCATGTACTGTAACTTAAATCACTGCATTTTATGAAAAATTTGACATATTTGGAATTGTTGAGTACATTGAAACTTGCATTCTGTACATTATCGGTATGTGAATACTGTTTCCAGAGACCCCCCACCCCCACGGTTATTCTCTTTGGTTGGATAGAAGTAAAAATGGTTGAAATTATGGCTGATACATGTCTCATTTTAAATTAATCTTACAGTTGGGATTACTACCTGAGTCTAATAGCCTAAAAAATAAGGAAGTAATTAATTTGGTGCAAGTGTACCAGTAATGGTAGTAAAAATATAATAGTCCTAATAAGTTAAGTTAAGTTTGTCCCACTATACGCCATGTAGGCGTTTGGGGTGAGTGGAGGTATAGCTCCTCTCTTCCTTGACCTCGGCACTAGATGGGGGTGAGTGGTCAGCATCACGCCCCGGCCGGCTTTACCCCCGGGAAAGGACCCCGGTACCCATTGTAGAGGAGGCTGGGTGGGCCCCAGAGCCGGTCTGGACGCAGAGGCTAGAGGAAAAATCCTCTGCCCCATCTGGGATCGAACCCCGGTCGTCCAGCCCGTAGTCAGTCACTATACTGACTGAGCTATCCCAGCTCACATAATAGTCCTAATAGTTTTTACATATTTTTTTTATTCTTACATTCCAGTGGAAATATGGTTTTATAATTAGCATTCTTTATTCCTGACAGATTGATTGTCACACAATTTTCTTGGTTCTAGCGTGAGGAACACTGGAACTCGTGGAAGAATGACGGATGTCCAGAGTTCCAAAAACCTGCCCATCAAGTAACAGCAGATGAGACAATAGAAGAGGGAGGGGAGAAGCGTAAGGTCCTCCCTCGTCCACGCAGACCTAAGAAGAGTCTCGGAGAACAGATGAAGGATGCCACTCAACATGGGAAATTCATAATGGGGAAGTGAGTAGAAATTTATGCCAGTGATATGAGAATTTTTGCTAGTTGCTTCAAATTATTTTTAACAGTAATACAGATTCATCTCAGATTTTAACATAGGCGTGATGAAAGTAATAAGTTTTTTATCTTAAATACAGCTGAGATAAAAAATGAAGTAACCTGAAAATTACACTGCTTAGTAACAGTTGTGTACATACATGAAATTTGGATTGGAAGTACATGGGGTATGTACTGTGTGATGTTTATGTGTAGAAATAAGAGGCTTTATTAATCAGAAAGCTGTCTGAAACAGGAAAATATTCAGGTCCCTAGTGATTCCATTATAAGTAAATGTTATTTATTTAGTTTTCTGTCTGAGGACAGGTCCATATGACCAGGATCCTTCCATCCTTTTCTCGGATTGGGACCTGTTCATATACGTTCTTGGCGGATGATCCAGAAGTGGTTTGCCATTGCCTTCTTCTGTGTGTGACTGGAGTAATTGTTGGGATGCCACGGAGGAAAACTCCGTGTTGCCTAGACCACGGCCTTGCCCAACACAAGTTATAAATTCGGGCACCGCCGGGAATCGAACCCGAGACCCCAGGATAACAAGGCCAGCGTTCTAACCGCTAGACCGCCTCATCTTATTATTATTTAGTGTTCTGTCTGACGACAGGTCCATATGAACAGGATCCCTCCATCCTTTTTTCAGACTGGGACCTGCGTGTTGACTTACGTTGTTAAAATATTTAGTTCATTTATCTTGAATAATATTGTTGTTTTAATAGCGTGGAACTTACAAAACTCTGGAACTTGTGTCCGAACAACCTTGAAGCATGCAAATCAAGGGACAGAGACTTCTTACCATCACTAGAAGGATACTTTGAAGAAGCAATAGAGCAGATTGAACCAGCAGCTATGGTAGAAGAAGAATACAAGTAGGTTTAGAAACTTTATTTTTTTATAGATATGCTTGTGGTCTAAATTGGGCCCAGAATTTTGTCAGAGTTTGTCACTAAATCATTTTCCCCAGTTCATATCAGGCGGTATTTCAGAGGCACCCTTTTACTACATGTAAATACTTGTACCATTCTTGCAGTATAGAATTTTTAGAATGGATTTTTAGGTAATGGAGAAAACAGGAAACAACGAAAATATTTTGTACAATTTAAACTGCCTGTGTGTCTGGGGAAATGCAAGATAAAGTTAGTCATGTGCTTAAACACAGTGGAGTTTGAACCAATGAGTCAATCAATCAATCCCTCAATCATTCTCTTTAGTCTGGAGTTCATTTGCTTACATGTTTTTTTAAGTAATTACATTTCATGTGCTATCAGCTATTTTATATTCTAATATCATAGTTTGACTGTTGTCTGCCGTTTTTTTGCAGACGAGTCAACGATGGTAACTTTGGTTGGCGTGCTCTAAGATTGCTGGCTCGTAGGAGTCCACATTTTTTCACGCACAGCAACAATCCAATCAACAAACTGCCTGAATATCTTGAAACAATGATCAAGAAAATTGCAAAGGACAGACCAGTGAGTACGAGTTTATTCTTACGAATTTGCCCCAAAGGTAATTATTTGGATTTTTATTCTGGTTTTATGTGATTTCAGTCATCGCTGAGCAGCGAAGAAATCAAAGTTGAGTTGATGGACAGTGATGTTCAGACAGTGGTTCCTGATGCTGAAAATGAGGACGACGAACTTCTAAAATCTGAGGAGAAGGAAGAACGAACAATGCCGCAAGAATACGAGGACGACGGGATGGGGGCAGAGAAGGGGGACAGTAAGAGAAGTATCCTGTTGAAAGAGCAGCTTCAGGCCATTGCAGTTAAAGTAGCGCCACAATGGAAGAAACTTGCAACCAAACTGGGCTACCAGGATGATGAGGTACGCTACTCATCTAATTTAGTGGTATTGAAACTTTATGTTCTATTTTCAGAAGTTAGCGAGTGAGTTAGTGCCTTCGTATTGTCGTTTCTGTATGCTTTGTGTAATGCCAAATCAACTTACGGATTTTAAAACGTAACTTTAATTTTGTTTTCAGGTGGATTTCTTCCAGAATGAGCAGAATACCGATGTGGAACGGGCATTAAATATGCTGCAGATCTGGGCAGAGGATGATGAAGATGCCAGTCCAGATAATCTCTCATACACGTTGGAAGGTCTGGGGTTAATGGAAGCTGCTGATGCCTTGAGGGAAGTAACAGATCTGATGAACATGGGGTAGTTTACCTTATGTTTGTATTCAGTGCGTGAAGACTGGGATATGCATCGGTAAGATGTTGGTATCACTACACAGTAAATTATAATGTGGTTTAGTCTGTCGTCGTCGTACACTGCGAGCGAATTTGTCAATTTTAGATTTAGAATATAATAGAAGGGGTTAGGTGTTGAACCACCCCTAGTGCAGTGACTAGTCATGATGATCTCTTGTGTGTCTGTGTCATTTATCTGTTGTGTTTAATTCTAGCTTCTGTTCACATGCTGAGGATCAACACTGCTTAAAATTTGTTGGGAAAATGTAATTTTGATTGCTGTTGGTTGATATCGAGGGCAGCGTGCCAGATGGGCGTACCGGCAGAATGATTGATCTACAGGTGACTACATTTTTATGCTAATTTTGATCGATAAATACGCATTATTATTGTCCGTACGCTCAAATAAAACTGTCTGTATCTCTGCGTATAGCAGCATCAGCATCACACCCTTCTGTCTCATCCATACATCTCACCATTTTATGTTCTTAGACCAAATGTCTTCAATTATGCAAATATTTTGATGTGCCCTTCTGCCGTGACCCCTCTGATAAGTTCAGCAGCTTTACGTGAAGACCAAGTAACATTTTATCATTTTCTCAGAAATGGCTCAAGGTTGATACATGACAAAAAAAATTCAGTTCTCATTTGGATTGACAACTTTCATTTGAATAATTCTTTGATATGAAGAGTATTTAATGAAATATGAATTATGTTAATTTTTTTTTTAATTTATGCGTTATGTTATTAGGTTTGTGGGTGTTGATTGGATTCACCTGGCTCAGTATACGGTCTAGTAGCAAGCTGTACTTAATATGGCAAATGAAACTTTGGTTTCCATAAATCTTGGGGAGTTTCTTGACTAGAGAATATTAACTTTTCAGGAATTCTGATGATCGAGGCAGCAGGGACCTGTGAAACATCGATAAACTTCTACCACTCGTGATACACGAGAGCTTTTTACTACACTGTATCCTGGGCCGGGTGAATCCATCCCACACCCAAAATGTGATTGAGAATTTAATGTTATCCTTCCACCTATGCATGATTCTTCCATGTGATCTCTTCCCTTTAGGTGTTCTGCCTAAATTTTATCTCTTCCGAGAGTGCTACATGTCCTCATCTTGTCCTTGATTTTATCACCTTAATATTAAATTTATATTTTACAATACATGCTCTGATTTAATTTGTTCGTGATAAGAAAGTATACTTCCACAGCATCTACCAACTTGAGAATTTTGTGGTCTCCTATTCCTCTCCCTGCTGATGCAGCTCCTGTAACTTAATACTTTACAAGATAACAGTTTAGAACTAAGTTATCCCTGTGTTTAAGTATCACACCATAGAAGTGCAATGAGGGAATTGAGGTAAGACTCCACACATTCTGAACCTTTGTATTAGATGGAGAGTCTGGATGCATCTAAGAGCCAGTCACATTACTCTGCAAATGTTTCTTTTTTGAAAGTGTTCATCATATTTCTTAAAATTTGGTTTTGGTGATATGTTTTTTGTTTGTTTGTCACCAGTATTTCGACTGGTTTGATGCGGTCCAACATTTTCGCCTATCTTGCGCCAGTCTCTTCATTTTCACATATTTTTTTGCATATCCTCAAAAATATGCGTCACATATTCCAATCTTTGTCTCCCCCTACATTTCTTCCCTTCATCTATTCTTCCATTAACAAATTAACCAATCCTGGGTGCCTCAGAATGTGTCCCACCGTCCTATCTCTTCTTCTCATAAGATTTTTCCATAGACTTCTTCCTTCGCCTATCCTTGGTGATATACATAGGTGATTTCTGAGCTCAAAGCTTTATCAAGTTTCTAGAAGTGTCATATCTTTTACGAAACTAAGTCCTATCAGTACCTCTCAGTTAAAAGATTTTTTAATATGGTGTATATGTAAATAAAATACAAGAATAATAATTTAAGGTTAAGTAAAATTGCATAATGTTCAGTTTCATAATTTGTTTTCTGTGAAATATTGGGACGGTTAAATCGAGGATGAGAAGGGCGGGGCCAGTAGCATGCATGGAGACGAGAAATGTGTACCTGAAGGAAAGAGATAATTTGATAGACTTGTGTTGGTTGGAAAGTGACAATCATTTGAAAATGAAAGTCATCTAAATATTTTACATATACACACACTGTAATGATACTTATTTGTGAATAAGGTGTTCAGGTTTATCAGCGAAGTAAAATATTAGCGCGAAGTTAAGCATTGAACTGAATCATATTGGTTACAGTTGCAAGTGGTTGAGGTTAAGTACGAACAGGAATGGGTGATTTTGGTTATTCTAATTCAGCGACTTGGCTGTTTGCTTTTCTTACGAAAATCATTCAATATTTCCATGTAAGGTACGAGTTCATGAAACTCCGTTGGACGCTGGATGACAATTGAGCTGAATATTTACACCCTTGCACGTGCTGAATAAAACTAGCAACGCTGGCTGTTATATCTTCTGTGACGAATCGTGTATAATATAATTGAAGAATTGTTCGCATTTATTTTCACGTATGTAATCGAGTCCATGTTGGATAGATCCGCGTTGAAGGCCAGTTTTGCTATACTTTGGAGTAAAGTTTACATTTTTATTTTTGTTGCGATGATCGGCAGGACTTTATTCCTCTAGCGGAAATAATTGGAAGCATATCTGCTTTGTATTAAGAGTTTGCTGAACTTTCACCAATGTGAGACTGGTTGCTTGAACTCTAGATCGTTCACTTGCCGTCGTTTGGATACCTGTAGTTATCAAAATAAATATAGCGTAGTTCTGTGACCTGTCACGGCGGTTTGTTCTACCCACACACTGCCAGTCAAATAACGTGGCATGACTACGCATGTTCTAGTAGTCCCAGAGATTGATCGTTCTGGCTGAAGTTGATTATATACAATCCATTAACCTACGCTAAGTTTGTTAACAAGCTTGTACCCGGAAGGTACCTGGGTCAGATCTCGGCCCATTACCGAATTTCTGACCCAGATTTTCGTTTTCTTTCTCAGTCTCGATAGACGAATTCTGGGACAGTGCCTTGAAATGAGTCAGGAAATTTTATTCCCTGTACCTACGTAATTATCACGAATGACTTCCTCCGTCATTTGACACCATGCATCATTTACAGTTGGAGCAAAAATATTCTAAAAGTCTGTCACATTTAACACCGTCTATGGGCATATCTGAAATACAAGGTATGTTATTGTAAAGTTAGATATTTTCTAATATTTTCCTTCCTTAAAATTTCAAAAAATACTTGACACTTGGTTTCTGAATAAAAGGGAACAACGTAAGTTGTGATATATTTGACGTCTTCACTGCGGTGATCATTCATATCGGTTTTTAGCAACCTGCTTCCTCCATCGTAAGGGGAGAAGTAGTGTAGTGTTACAAAGCTGTTCATAAAATATAAAATATTGTATTTGTATTTCAGTGAATATGAATATGAAATAAATGTAACCCCCCCCCCACGAACGATATTTTGGTACCGGCACGAACGAAGGCGGGTGGCAAAAAAAAAATAAAATGGCATCTGCTTTACGCTTGATGTAACTGAATACTTTATACACCAACTCACCGAAGCTGATTGGCTCACAACTACACGTGATAGTAGATGCGCAGAAGCGTATTATACTCGGCCGCTGTTGTTCTTTTGTCTCCAGTAGGGTGAGCGGATACCTGTGGTCTGTGAGTGACGTAGAAGAAAAAGTTTGTCCTTGCCGAACATCTGATCTCAGTCTTCCGGTTCCGGTCTAGTAACTACTAGCCTCCCTGTGCTGTGTGTATTGTATTTTCTATTTGCGATGTTTCCACGCGTCAATCGCAGAAGGTACGTGGGCTATGACATCTGATTAAGAATTTCGTGGAATCTTTAATTGTAGGTCTTTATTTACACGTCCACACAACATAAACACGTGACAGTTTACAAAAATAACTGTGGGGAGGAAATGTTTATTCATTATGCCAGGGCCCTTCATACATTGCGTTCTTTTCTAATAGGTTCCCAGTTACTGGCAAGTTTACACGGTTAAGACTGCTCGTGTATGGACTAAAATTGGATGTTTAAACAGCGCACGTGTTTTAAGACTGGAACGTTGAACATCAACTAAGTTTGATTTTTTTTTTACGTACGTTGCTACCGAATTAAGTTCGTGGTGTCGGCCATTTTAAGTTTGGGATTTAAAACTGCGTAGTCTGTGGGCACGATTAAAACTGGCGAACTTACCCGTAACCAGAAACCTAGTAAAAAAGAACGTAGTGCATGGCTGCCTCAAGAGTTTACGTTATTTGAATCGTGATACAACTTTCGTATTTCACTTGTAATGGTCTGTTTATTCTGCCAGTCTTCTCTCTCCCGTTTCTTTATTTCTCCTTTGTCCCTCGCCTTGTTCTTGTTCTTTCCCCTCCCACCCGAAAATAAACTTTTGGTCAAAGGCTCAATTATGAAAGATTCTTTGAAATGTTAAGACGTTCTTTACCAAGAATAATGAACCATTCTTCCTGTTACTTTCTGGGGTTGCAAAAGTTTAACACTAACAAAGTTAAGCGTTGTAACTTACTGCTAGTGTATTTGTATCTACCACGAGCGTTTACATCCGTGGTTTCCCTGTTCAAGTCTGGCCGACCCCGTAACTCTCTGGAATTGTCCGTACAGGGGGAATTTAGACAAATATGAATACATTTAGTTTTTCTTCTATCTGTGATATAGATAAATTTTATTTAATAGCGCTAAATGCTATTGGCGGTTCAAATGAAGTTTTACGGACGCGGTGGAATGAAACTTATTATTTTTTCTGCTTAATTTTTTTTTAAATATTGATTGAAAAGTGTTTATTAAATGCGAGGCTTATTTTTGTTTCCCTTATTTATTTAAATTATAAAACAAAGAAATCGTCTTGTTAGTCATTCAAGATAAATACTGGGTATAATATTTAATGACGTGTTTATACCTTTGGCTACAAATGCGTGGTTCATTAAAATCCAGACTCTAAAGCTAGCAGTGTTACCACATTTAAAAAAAAAGTGTTATAGGTAATATGATTAGCCCGTGCGAACAATTTAACATAAAGTTTTTGTTTTATAATTGTAATAGGAATTTAATTGAATCATTAGTTCATGGTTAATTGTATTTGGTAGATTGTAATTTAAGTGGAAAGTAATATTTGGAGTACAGAAATATTGTGAAACATCAAAAGGAAAGCACATGTAAAATATGAAGATGGTTGTCTTCTGTTTTGTTACGCCGTGTAGTCTAACAGAATTTACTGACGTTTCAGAGATCCTTGCTGCTTCCATCATCAGGGCGTTGATGTTGGGGACAGCAAGGACCTCTGAAACGTCGGTAAACTTCTACTAGATTGCAGCGATCAACAACCCAGAAGACAACCGTCTTAGGACTCACCACCACGAAAAACCTCAAATCCTACTAATGTAAAATATGTTTGTTTGTCTTTTATTGGGAAAATAAATTAACCTTCCCTTATACTTGATTTAAATTGCACCTCGCATGTCAGTGATGCTTGTTTGAGGAGAAATATGTTATTTTGTAAGTGATACTTTAATATAAACATAATGAGAGGATGGTCTATTTTTCATTGTAGACAAACCATACTGGTAGCTAAAGAACTAAGATAAGTAACCGTCTTCTCTACAGTATTTTATGTGAATTGGAAGTCTCGTTTTTAAACCTGACCATAACTGTGCTCATATTTACCCCAGTTCCCCTATACATTATTATAACCACAATTTACAGAGAAGTTTTAAATACGCATTTCTACCTTTAACTGTTCACTTTCGTAATTTAGATTATTTTACGATGGTCTAGTAACTGTGTATCTAATACCTTGCTTGGACTGACACATGACTACTTTTATGCAGTATCTTGGTAATTGTCAAGAGGCAAGGAGAAAAATCACAGAGTACCTGAGGATAACCGGTCTCCAGTGTGGGAATCAAACCGGAGATTAGCCGAATTCCAATAAGGAGTGCTTGTTATTACAAGACGACGTTCGGTAAGTGTGAGTTGTGTTTTGCTTCCATGATACGTACAACGGACATAGCAAGGCTGATTAAACGATTGTCGGTTTATGAAAAATGACGCTGGTCCGTGAAGATTAGTCACCTTAAGGCAATTGGTTATCGCGTAACGGCGTGCTTTGCAGATGTAAATGCAACGT